TTTTATTCCTGTAATCAATCCAAAGATATAAATTCATGCTAAGCTTAAAATCTTATTTTCACTTTGGCATTGACTTGTTTGTACTGGTTTTATTCAATTTCAATCTGGCTGATACTTTTCTAGTTTATTATTTTATTTTATATTAAATTTGTGTAGCACATAATGTAAAAAAAAAAAAATTGTTTATAACAACTTTACCACAGGAAATTTTCATTGAAATATTTAAATACATTGAAAAGGATTATAAAACACTATATTCTTGTGTTCTTGTCAATAAAAAATGGCATAATATCAATATTCCAACTTTATGGAGAAACCCATTTATTTCTAAAAACAGCATCAAAATATTAATTAATTGCTTACTAGAAGAAGATAAAAATTTCTTGGTGGAAAATGATATTATATTCAAAGATTTTGAATTATTGGAAAAACCACCATTATACAATTATGCTAAATTTACAACTGAATTAGGTTTTTATAAATTCAATGATTTTTTGCAATATTTATGTGATTTATATAGTTCAGGATATTTTCAATTAAAAACAAAATTGGATGAATTTATTTTTGATCATTCAAATATCAGAAAGCTTACAATATCAGATAGTGAAGAATTGGTGGATCATCATAGATTTGATACTTGTTTATGTATATAGTAATAGTTGTTTTTCTATACAAATCACTTGATTTGAAGACTAATATATTTAATTCAAATCTCAAAAAAATTGCCAGCACTTGATAACAATTAATTCATGATATACAATTTAATATTAATCAAAATATGTTCGTAATAAATGATGAACATTCCAACACAAATCAAATAACAATTTAATTTGTAAAAAGGAGGGTATATTACTTAAGTGCACATGGGCATTTATTCAATTGTAAATAGAATAATCCATTTTTATGTATTTTCTCCCTTGTATGTGATTATTTAACAAAAAAATGAACATTTTGAGTAGTTAAGCTTAGGAATATAGGAATAATAGGAAATATAAATTATAAAAAACAACAAGTCATTCAAAAACGTCACACTAGCTTATAAGAATTTCTTTTATAAATTATTGGTTACCAATTCTTCATAACAGAATCTGAATTTGCAACTGCTGCTTTTGCATTGTTTTTATAATACACAAAATGTCCTTGTAATTGGGCTGTACTCACTCCTTTACCTCGCACTCTCTTAACAAATTCATCTGCCAACATATCTGCCCCCTCATAAAATCTTAAAAACATATTATGAATCTGGTATTCACTTGCATTATCAAACAACTCTTTGACATCAACTCTACCAGGTCTAATCAATGCATTGTCAAGATGTTCCAAATGATTAGTTGTCATAAATATTATACGCTCTTCAGATGATGCCACTCCATCCAATGCATTTAATAATCCGCTAAATGTTACCATTGATTGATTATGACTAAAAATTAATTAATAAATTAATAAACAATATATTACATTATTACAATAAATAAAGCATTTATATATTTAAATGTAACAATTTTTTTCTTATACCTTCCACGATATTGCTGTTTTTCTGTTGTAGTTGTCGGCAATTGCTTTGGGTTAAAAGCTGCATCAATATCTTCTAATAATATAATACTTCGTTGGGGTGCATTGCTCATCAAATGATTTAATCGATCATCTGTTAATCCCAATTCTGCCAAGTTTAATATGCAAATATTATATTCCAACTCCCCTGCAAGTGCTTGTATAAAACTACTTTTACCACTTCCTGGTGGCCCATACAACAAATACCCACGCCTATATGGTATTCCTAACATATATTATTCATGATATTAACAATAACAAATGTAACCATATTATTATTAAATAAAGTATATGTGATCTATCTCACCTCTGTCATTATACCATTTGCCATTGCTAATAAAATCTTTGACATCTTTAACTACCCTTTCTTTAACTCCTCTATCTAATATCACCGAATCTAATAATCTACGTTTTCTTGGTAATCCAAAAGGTCGCCATTCAGGCCCCCAACTAGTAAAAACAACAGTTTTTCCTTCTTGTTTAGCTAATGCTAGTTTTTGTGCTTCCTTCAACAATTCTCCAAACAAATGTCGGTCACGGGCCAATGTTGTCAACGTGACGGTTTCCCATGGACTACCAGAAGTCATATCCAACATCTTGGTATCTCGTTGACGCTCAACCTATATATTATCAACAACTTCCGAAAGAACAACTTTTGAAATGTGTACAACAACCTTCTTATTTCTTCCTTTTTTTTTTCTTTGAATAAATACTCGTATTTCTTGTGCATTTTTCCTTGATTCTTGGTTTATTAAAGATTTGTTTGTACACATTTCAAAATTTGTTCCAAAGAAGTAGTGGTGTCTAAATTTAATTCAATATATATATATATTAAGTAATACAAAATATATATAAATATTAAATGAATAAAAATACATACCTGTAACCACACACCTTTCCATCTAAAGAAATGTTTTCCTGGTCCTGGAACCAAGCTGAATGCCGTACTAACACTACCATTGTCATGTTGTATAAAACTAGTTTCTACTGCATATTGATGTATTCGCTGTTTGGACTGTTGTGACATCCATTGCAAAAACCATTGATATGACTTGTCTCTTGAAGGAATCTCTAGAGATACAAGCATTTGTCTACGCGTTATGGTAAGTCCATACATCAACCCTTTTCTTAAGGCTGCTAGGCCTGCTCCTACCCCGATAACTCCAACTCCTGCTGAAAAATATGGATTTGAGGAAAAAATTCCTGATAACAATGAAGATTCTACCATTTTATCTTGAAAAAAATTTTTGATTTCATTTTAAGCATGGTGTACATTTGATTTCATTGGCTAAATTTTGTGATAATCCCTTCCAGATATCGCGCAAAAAGAACGGTTGATGATTTGATGTTGAGAATAATGTCAAAGATGTTTGGGTTGAGCGTCAATATATTAGCCTATATTTTTTTTCAGGCCATACCATTTTTTTATTGATTTTTTTTGATTTATCCCAAAATTTATTTTACATCAGTTGGTTAAAAACCCTCTTTTGCCTAATATAATAATGTATTATTATTATCAATTAAATAAAATAAATTCGACTCCGATTAAATAAAAAATAATAAAAACATTAATAATTACTTAATTACTTTTTATTTTTATAAATAAAATGGAAAACAAAACCAGACTTCTTCATAAAACAAAAAGAAAACCTAGTGTTTTAGCGGTGCCACAAACTGTATATCTTGGATTGGAATTAGATTATGATCAGGTCAATCAACAAAAAATAGTTTATGCTGTTGCTATACATGATGGATATTATACAATTGATTTTGAATTTTCTTCAGTGGATGTTTCCAAGTATAAAACAGAGCAAGAAAAAATCAATGGGGCCATTGACACAATATTAGGAAATATTACTTCATATGTTAGATCTCAAAATTTCAAGGTTCAAGCTATAGGTCTAGGTGCTTATTTAAAAAACCAAGATGGAAAAAATATAAAAAAGTTATTGTACACATCACCTACTTTAGCATCAAGAATTTGGTTAGAACTTGATGCATTGCCATTCATTGTCCATACAAAAGGTATGACTGTTGATGAGAGAGCTAGTTCTGCTGTTAGAAAAACTGTTGTTTGGTAAATATTAAAAATCTATTGATCTATAAATATTTATATAAACACACACAACACACACACACACATATATAAACTGACTTTTGCATATTTGCATACATATGAATATAGGATAAGTCCTCTAACACCAGGATCAATTCCAAGAATATCAGTTGGCTATAGGCATGAAGTAGAAGTTGATCTCAATGGAATGATCAAATTGGTTGATTTGCTTCACTATGAAAAAACTGTTTGCCCTGAAACCTGGAGAGTAATAAATACAATTGCAAATGAGATCAGAGCTAAAAATATTTGTATATCATTTTTTAATTCCACTCCTCAAGGTGGTGGAGGTAAGTAGTTTTGAATGGATTTATTTATTTGTTAATTTTATTCCTATTATATTTATATATTTTATATTACCCAATTGATTAGTTGCTCTAATGAGACATGCACTTGTACGTTTATGTCTTTTATTAAAACTTGATATACACTGGTTTGTTGCCAAACCAAAACCTGAAATTTTTGATATCACAAAAAGAAAATTTCATAATGTTCTACAGGTAGTTAATTATTAAAAAAAATTTGTAACTACATAATAATGAGTTAATTAAATTTATTCATTTATTCTATATTTAAAAGGGTGTTTCTTCACCTGATGTTAGATTAACAAAATCTGATAAGGAAGAATTCATTACATGGTCTAATACTAATGCTGAACGCTTCTGGAGTGATGATAAAGGCCCTATAAAAATAAGTGATGTGATAATTATAGATGATCCACAAGGTACACATGATATTCCATTATCTATATAATCAATCTTTATCTATTTATTTAAAATAAAATAATCATACTTAGTTTATATTTTATATTATAGTTTGTGGTATTATTCCACACATCAAAAAAAATAATCCAACTTGTAAAATTATTTATAGAAGTCATATTGAAAGTAAGTTGCTTTTTTTTTAATTTCTTGTTTTTTTTTTTTTTTTTTCTGATAAATAATATTTATACAAGTTACCTACGTTTATTCAAGTTTGTGCAGATTTAATTAGAAAAAATCCAAATGGCCCACAAGCTGAAACTTGGAATTTTTTATATCAATTCATATCACAAGTTGATCTTTTTGTATCTCATCCAATTGCAAATTTCATACCAGATAATGTTCCCCGTAAAAAGGTAATTATATATTTTTTTTTAAATAAAAATTTGTTATTTGGTATATTATTTAACTTGACATTATCTAAACAATTGTTCTCTTTTTTTAAAACATTTGTTTAGATTGTATTGCTTCCAGCTTCTACAGATCCATTAGATGGTTTAAATAAAGAATTAAAAGATTCAGACAAAGAATATTATAAACTAATTTATAATCGTTTATCAAATGATCAATGTGGTGTGGTAATAGATTTTCGGAGGCCATATATTGTTCAAGTTGCTAGGTTTGACCCAAGTAAAGGTATTAATTTATTATATTATTATTATTATTATTGCTAAAAAAATTTTTTTTTTTTTGATGTTAATTTTTAATATAACATAATATCATTATAGGTATTCCATTATTAATTGAATCATTTAGATTATTTAGAGAGAAATTGAAAAATACAGGTTGGGATAACTATGGAATGCCCTCATTAATTATATGCGGTGCTGGTAGCATAGATGATCCTGATGGTACATTAATATATGAACAAATTCATTCTTTATTAAGTGAAAGTATATATCAAGATATAGTTGATGATATATCAGTTGTAAGATTACCACCTTGCGATCAACTTTTTAATACAATGTTAAGATGTGCACATGTTGTATTACAATTAAGTACACGAGAAGGATTTGAAGTTAAAGTCACTGAAGCTTTGGCAAAAGGTGTACCTGTTGTAGCTTTTAAGGCTGGTGGTATACCACTACAAATTCGCCATGGAGAAACTGGCTTTTTAGTTGATATAGGTGATACGAGTCAAGTTGCTGACTATTTATATCAATTATTTAATGATAATGACCTCCATAATAGAATGTCACAAGCAGCAAAGACAACAGTCAATGAAGAATACTTTACAGTATTTCAAACTTTAAATTGGTTATATATTATAAATCAATTGAGTAATAGTAAGAAATCAAAAAATATTAGTAAAGGTGCTAATATAGATAATGATGATTATGATTATGATGATGATGGTGATGATGATGGTGATGATGATGATGATAAAGAAGAACCCAATATAATTAAAAAGGTTGGGGAAGAAGAAGGTGAAAGTTTGGTGGGTGATGGTAAATGGGTGAAAGAATTATGGACTGAAAAATATAATTACAAAGGAAAAGATATGATTGATGGTATTTATTATTGATAGATAAATAATGTTGTTTTCATTATCATCATCATTATTCTTGGTACTGTTACTAAAGTATTTATTATTGATTTTAGGTTCTTGACTTCATTATTAAATCATAGAATTACCAAGTTTTAGAAGTTATATATATAATATATAATATTTCAGTCATTTACACATCATATTTGTTTATTAATTATTTCATATTCATTTGCTTGTCATGTATTCATTTATTTATTTTTTATATATTCTATTAGTGACTAAGAAAAATATAAAGAAAATATTTATTGATATGATCTTTTGTACATTATTAAATTATTAAAAATAAATATGTTAACTAATTTATTACTAAACATTACTAATATGACAAATGTTCATGTAAAAATAAATATAAAGTCATCAAAAATATTTAAATTAACTATAATTCCAAAGTCCACAATCTTCACATTCATGTTCATGTTTACATTCTGGCAATGCAAAGTTATAAGTCACATTCCAAAGAGTTAAAATTTTTTCAATCACTTCTTTGATGCTGTGTGTTTTTAAACTTACACCCCATTTTAATTTCTCAACTACATCAAATACACATGCTTTTCCAACATGACATTTTGTTTCCATCTTTTTTTTTTAATTTGAAACAAAAGAAATTTATTAGAAAATTTTAGATATTAAGAAAAATAAACATCCATAACTTACTGCATATCCACCAAGATAGCACCAACTTGTAATCCCCTATAAAAATATATATATTGATATATCAAAGATGATTATTAATAACAAAGACTTTAAAATTCAACTAATAATTATTTGACTATTACATTACAAAGACCCATGTAAATAGGATCAGCAGTTTGACCAATATGCCAAATAGGTAATAGTTCATATGGTACAGCTGGAGGTCCCGGTAAATGTAATTTTTTTGCAGCTCGTCTTTCCCCAGGTGCCTCATATGCAACCACTGGCAAGCCATGAGTTAATCCTAGTAATGAGGCCAAGGATCCACCAAGAGAATGGCCAATTAACCATACTTTTGAATCTTGAAATTCAGAAGCCATATTATCAAAAAGATTCTTTTTGTGATAATTAAAGCAAGAATGGAAAAAATAAAATATTAGAAGTAAATAACAATTAATTATCAAAGAAAAAATTTTTTTTTCAATTAAAAAAGAGACAAATGATTTACCAAAACAACTTTGTAATATAATGATTCATCCGATTCTTTATCAACACTCTCTTGTAAACAGTCAATATCACAATTGTAATTGCCACGATGACAATCACATACACCAGACCAGGTACGATCAACTTTGGCACAACAACATGAAAATAATAAGTTATCCTAACAAATTAAGATCAAAATTGATTTTAAAAAAAGCATCATTATAAAACTTTTAGGAAATGATAATTAAAATGAAATTTTATAAAAAACAAACATTAATTTTGTCACGTTTAGTAGTTGGTCCATTTAATTCCATACTGGTTCCTTTTATCGCTATTATTACTAACTCATTATTTTGACTAGTAAATACATGGCCACGAACACCATCTTCTTCCCATCCAAATGATTGATTCTGATCGAATCAAAAATAATAGTAGTGTATTAATTAGTAAAGAGAAATATAAGCATCAAGAATATATGATATAAAATAAGAAAAAGTCTTTTTTAATAAATTTTAATGACACATACCTTAGGATATTCTTTGCCTATATCATACCAATCAATGGCATCATTATCAATCAAGTAAGCATTATAAGTCATTTTTGCCAAATTAATCAATGTTCTATAATCTTTAATATCTGGCACAAGTTTAATTTCTTCATCCCAATCAATAATGGTCGAAATTCCTTCGTTTTGTGAACGTAAACGAAATTCATTAATAGCATTTTGTTTTGTAGGTCTAACACTAGTTTCATTGATAGCTCTGATTGTGTGAGTAAAAGGAATACCACTACTTTGTTCTTTTGCTAAAATTTCAAAGTCACTAAAATCTTTGCGTTTAATAAGATTAGGAAAACGAGTAGAGCCATGATGAAAAATATGCTTTAGTTTAACTGTTTTTAATAATCCATCTTCATTGGATGTTGTTGTAGTAGTAGCAGTACATTCTGATTGGTGATCATTTAATGTAAGCACTATAATAAGTATGTAAAGAAGGCTTGTTGTAAGTTTGATGATATGATTTGAGAAATGATGCTTCTTCATATGTAATTTTCTAAAGTACAGTTTTTTTACTTTTAAAAAGAAATAAAAAAATCTGTAATTTTGATTTCAACTTTTAAAAACATATATGCACGCCGATCCAATTTTTTAACACTAATATCAAAATGGTTATTAAATGGTGCCCCATTCATCTAGCATCTAGTTGGGGTGCGCGATATTCTAGAAAGGCTAGGATTTATAAAAAACATAATAATAGCAAAATAAGTTGCTTTCAAATCACTACTGCGTTTCCATTTCCAAAGCTATAGGCTCCAATTGATTTTCAAAATGTAATGGGCTCAAGACCAAATAGAGTAGAACAAAAAAACTCTTTGTAATTATAAAAAAAATGCACACCATCTACTACTACCACAGAAATTCTGTCAATCACGCCCAACATTAGATGAATAATGAAGCTATCAGTAATTATTATTATTATTATAATAAAAATAGGTATTAGTATGGGAAATCTCTAATGACCATAACATGGCGCCTATCCTTAAATTAGTTAATTTTTTAATATTGTATCACAAAACAAAAAAATGATTTTTCCAAAAATTATACGTTCAACTTTCATTTTCAAACTATAATAGTAATATTTCACCAAAATTATTAGCAGCTTCAAGGAGTGTCTCTGCTAGTTATAGTATCATGTCTACTATTTCAACATTGAAAGAAGAAATAAATACATGGTCTTCATCTACGCCATCAGACAAAATTTCTAATTCGATTATTCCTTTAACTACAATTAACGTTGAAGATGAAATACATAGAACTGCAATCAAAATTTTTCAACAATCAATAGATCTTTTAATAAATTTATCTAATAATGATGATGAAGATTATCTTCACATTTATTAGAGTAAATTTTTACCACAAAGTTCTATTGGAAAATATATTAGGGAAGTAATTTCAGCAATTAATTAAGATGTATTAATTACTTGATAAATATTGCAATTAATATAAATATTTTATATCTAGACATTTATGTGACTATTTTAGATTATTGATTGAATCAAAATCGCTGATAGAGAAAAGAAACGTAAAGAATATAATCACCCATTAGATGATTATGAAAAAAAAAAGATTGTAGATTATGATAATAGAATGGCAAATGTGTTTATTTACGCATACGTGTTGTATTTACGCATATGTGCGCATTTATTTGTATGTATAAATATGTATAAATACTAACACGCATACTTCAATCGAAATTAGAAAGAATAAAAACATCAAATTTGAAAGCGGTAAAGATCATTTCAGTTATTTCCTTGACTTTCCAATGAAAGCTAAATTTAACAATTGATTAAATTAAATTCTACATACAGTAAGGAATTATGGAATTATGTTTTGTTGTCATCACGCAGTAAATAAATAAATAAATATATTGATTTTTTTTTTCGTTAAATAAATATTTTTGAATTTATTAGATAGATATTTTCTCAAAAAATTGTTAGTACATGTACTACTAATGTTCACGTTATGATCATTGCTAAATTTAGACTATCTCTCGAACATCATATCTAAATTTGGCAGTAAAGAATTTTAAAACCAAAAATCAGGTGACCCATTTGTTAAGAGTATGACGTACAATAGTATATTTTGCCATCATAATTTTTGATCCGACCCAACCCGCTTATTGTTAAAATGGGAGGAATACCCCTTTTGAGGTTATTCCAAAAATTTTTTTACCCCACTTTAATGAGGCACTCACACGGAAACCTTTAGTAAAAGGCGAAAGGTTTATACGATCTGCAAGTACCTCGTGGGAATGTAGAAATAAATCTATCGAAATTAATGTTTTATTTATTACAATTGCAGATTAATTTGATAATTATGGGATTTTTATCCGTGTGTAACACCATAATGATATTGTACAATAAAATCAGGGAATTGTTATTCGCACCCCTCCCGTGACTAAGTGTAGTAATGTGACCAATGAATGGCTTTAAAATGTGATGATTTTATTGGTTCATCTTTGTTTTAGTCACGGGAGGGGTGCGAATAACAAAAATGGGAGGTGCGAATAACAATTCTCTAAAATCAAATTAAAAATTTTTTTTCAATAATCATGGTTGACATTTCATCAAATAAATTTATCAAGAGCACCAACACCACCAAGTGTCTAAAATCTATGTGCGGAACGCTTGCTCCGAGCATAATAATTTATTTGCGCACAGTATAATTTTAGAGATGTGTACCGTCCGACCTCGATTTTTTATTGTGGTTTAATGTGCGGGATTCAGTTAGATCAAATAAAATATTAATACATATTAATGTCAGTTCACAAATCCTTATATAAAAAATCATTATTTTTTTTCTCAATATTTTTTTCTGATGAACTTTTTCAAATATAAGATATCTTTTTATTCACTTCATTCACATTAAAGCTTTTGAAAAGTATTCAGAAATGGATAAATTTGTTATTTGTGAAAATAAAGAAAGAAGTAATGAAGGATCCAAACAGGCAGTAACTGCACAAAAAAATAAGGAAATAACCAGACAAGAATTAAATAAAGTATGTGAAGATTTTGATCCAAATTGGTTACGAGTTTACCCTTAGCTTGAAAAAAGTGAAGACAGTAATAGAAAGGTGACAATGTTTTTCGAAAAATATAAACAAAATTTATCAATTGTTTTATAATTTATTTTATTACTTATGTAAAATTGCCCGCACATTAGTTTGATAATAATGTGTGGTCAACGCACATAATTTCGAGTTCAGATTTTAGGCACTGAACACCACATACCAATTGAAGATAGCCAAGAAAATTTTTTGTTTTCGACCAGAGGATTTCAGTACATAATATGTCACGACCCTTGATCTTACAGATTTTGGTAAAATTTATCAACGATCTATAAGCTTGCTCAATTGTCAGATATAAGCAGTAGGTGGATATTGGTGGATATGCTGCAACAAACAAAGTGAACATAATTTTGATGTTGAAAATTGCTCAATTTACATCACTTCTTGTTTCTTATTTTTTTTAATCATTCAATGCCTCCATATTAAGATAAGCCTATTCCTTTGTTGTTTGGATTTTACTTGGCCTAACTCTATTTGTCAACACATTTTTTGATTTAATATGTAAAGTTCAAAAATTCACTCGCCATTCTTACACAAGGTGCTATTTCATGATTTTTACAAATGTTGGTAAAAGTTTGAAGTTTAGAAATTGAAGCGGTTGTGGTGTTTGTGGTAGGTCCAGTGATGGTAAAAGAGTAAGAAGAGGGACTGGCGTCATCAATAACAAGTTCTACACAACTTTTATAGTTAACAAATTTTAACTTGAACTTTTTTTCAGGCAAACTAAATCAACAGACTACCACGAAATAAAAGGACTTCGCTGAAGATATTTCATCTTTACCACAACCATCCATTTTTTTCTTATTACGACGTGCAAAAATTCTATATCAAATATCTTTTGATATTGTTGATAATAATGATAATAATAGTAATAATAAAGAAGAGTTCAATAAAAAAAACCTATCAATAATAAACAAAGAGTTTTTACATTATCTAACTAGAAGAATAAATTCTCGATGATATGATTATAATTTGTTTTTTTAAGCATTTATAATATATTATATTAAAAAATTTTTTTTGCTTTTAAACAAAGACATCTTTGAATGATATTTTGATACTCTTTTTAAAAAGGTAAAGAAAAATTTAAATTTAAATACTGTAAATCATATAAGATTGATCTAATAAATTTAAAATTTAGATTCAAGCTTGAGAATCAGTTTAAATGAACCTGCTCAAATAAACAATTGTAATAATTTTATATATGTGGACCAGCATCACAGGGGTTTTAAATATTATCATCAATGAATGTTTGGAAAAATGATTAATGAGCTTGAAATTGTCTTAAAGGATCTCGACCAATGAATCCGAATTTGATTTCGTAGCTTTTAGGTATGTTTGCGTGATAATTTGGGGTTCTTTTAATTAAACAAATATCTTTATTCTTTGATAACAATAGATCGCTGATAAAGATCCTACGCATTTTAACAAAAACATATTTCTTTGTTGGAGGTACGACCAAGATTTGTTACGAATTTTATTAGAATTCTTAAGAGAAGCTTCAACGGAGCAATATTATTTTCAAATACTGATTTCTTTCTCCTAATGAGATAATTATTATCTTCATTTTTTTAAACAAATTATTAGTTAAATTCACCGAATCTTAGAATGGAAAAGCAAATAAATATCAGGAACAATTGATTACTTGCTAAACAAAATTGATAATATATCTGAAGATCCTATCTTTTTTAAAAGCTAATGATATTAATATTAACCTTTTTTAAATGAATGTTTGAATGGATATTTTGGGTTAGGATTAGGTTAAATGATGAGGTTTATTAGTCTAACATAGTTTTACAATAATATTGGATGCTGGTATTATTGATGGAAGAGAATGGATAACAAATAGAGAGCGTCATGAAGATGAACCAGTTTTTAGAACTGATGTAGCAAGACTGTAATTACAAATTTTATTTCATAAATGAACACCAATATTTTTTGCAATAGTGATTGTGACATTTCTGACTTGTTGATTGAGAATTTTTGTAGTGTGTTTGATGTGTGATATGAGCGTGTAAGGTTCAGGAGCACGAATTATTATGGAAGAAACAGGATAAGTTTATTGAAAAAAAGAGTTAACATTCATTCAAGGCTGTGTATTGAATAGTCAATTGGTATATCATTTGACACAGAAACCAATACGATGTCTAACTATTCCTGATTTTGTATTATTCTTATTGGTTGAAAATATTCTATAGATTTAAGATGTGCAAAGGGTAATCTTGGTAAAAGTGTAAATGGTGGAGCTTTGCAATCACACACAGGTAATTCTTCATGTGGTAATGCACCACACCATTCACCACCATAGCCTACTGATGTGTCATATAAATTACTAATGAAATTTATTAGAAGTTGATATATGAATAAGTAGTTTATTTAATTTTAAAAAAAATTATATATATATACACACACAAACCTCCAAAGTACTTTATCACCATATGCATGAATTGTACGATTATTCATACAGATTAATTGTTCTAATGGATCATTTCACATTTTATGGAAACATATAAAGTATCATTATCAACCTTCATCACTGACTCGTAATGAATATAAGGATGAAAGGAATTATGATATTCTGCATCAAAATATCATTCGGGAGAAAAGTTCCATCATTTAATGTGGCTATCAACTTATTTTCAGGTTGAAGTAATCTTCCAGATCAACATTTATTGAATAATTTCCAGGATATTTGATATAAGTTAACCCTCTGAAAATATTTGAATGTTTTTTAGTTATTATCATTGGAATAGGTTGAACAATTGATGACTGATTGCTCTTGCAAATATGTTATGATGAGTGAGCCTTTTAATTAATGCTGATTTTCAAAAAAGACTTTTTGGTAACTTTTTACCCCTCCCCCCCACAAAAAAATATTATTTTACAAATATTAGGGAAAAAAACAAATTATATGATTTATAATAAATATAAATATAAAATATATTTACTGCTACCATAAATATGAATTCCTTTATGCATGTTTTCAATAACTAAAATTTTCGTTTAAAAAATAAGTAAATGATTTGATTGAACTTGGAATCTTTACCTATTTCTCTACTATTTATTACAAAATTACTTTTATATGTATATGAAACAAATGGTTCTGCTTTACCAAAGAAATGATTTAATAAAAAAGAACAAACATTCGTGTAACGGGGGTTTTGGCAGTGGAATGTGCGGGTGTAACATCATACATTAGCAGTTTTCTGCATATAGTTTCTAAATTTGTAGAAATCTGCATTAGTTACAAACTGAAATTTATACACTGGCGGAAAATTTAGTCAAACTTTTGTAACCTTTTTTACTAAAGAAAGCAAAATGAGAGTGCCAAATATAAAAGCAAATGAACGTCTTTTGATTAATAGTAGCGATAATAAATCTTTATACGTTAAATGAAGGTGAAGAAGATTGTGACTTTGTAATAGTCATTTTAAATCTGAAATCTTTTCTATTCCTGGAAATTTGTTGTCAGTAAACAATGCTGATCTTATTTATATATATTGCTTAACTTTATGGTGGTAGTGTTATTTAATATTTATACAGTATTATATAATGATTCCACTAGTAGTATAAAATGTTAATTTGATAAAGTCAATGAAGAGTAAACAATATATTAGACTGTATAACGAAAAACCAAGTCTATGTATTAAAAACATTCAGATAAAGAAACATTATGTTAATTATTTTTCAACAGCCAAAGAAATTAAATATCTATTGATTTTAAACTTTACAATTACCGGATACATTAACCAATCCGTTCATTATTTTGGTTGGGTAGAATGTGGGTCATTATATCAATCATGGTAACAAAAAATTTTGTAATTCTGCGCAATTATGTGGTGTTTAAAGTTAATTAGTATTAGCATTTCTGCTTAAGAGTTTATTATTTATTTATTTTTTTTGGCTTTAACTAAGCTTGGATTTTTTTTTTTTTTTTTTTTGGAGACAAAGAGGTTCATATATACTTAATCAAGCGTGGAAAGTTGTTTAATGAAAAAAATTTTTCTCCATAAACTTTTTTAAGTTCATACCTCCTCCTTTAATCTCCTTTATCCAATTTCAAAATAATAATTAAAAATACACGCACGCAAATATTTATATATTACAACATAATAAATATGCAACGACAAGAACCAGCTATGACAACAGTCATCAATAATGCACTTAATGAAGAAGATTACGATACAGCATGGGAAGAATGCTCGAAAGGATTGATTGCCTATCCAACAAATCCAACATTATGGTACAATCGATCAGTAATTGATTATTTGAAAGGATTCCCGGAATTAGCAATAATGGATGCAATAAGATCATTGAAATTATTAGAAGATGAAGTAAACAAGAGTAACGATGAATTTGAATTGTTGACTATCAAAAACTTTATTATTAAATGTTTAGATTTGATTGGTAAATCGATGGGGGATGTTGGAAGTTATGAGAAAGGAACTGAAATGTATGAGAAGGCAATTCGGACGTTCGACGAGACAATTGAAAATTACAAGGAGAAAATAATGATGGATGAAGATTTTAATACTGGATCTCCGATTAATGCTAAATTAACAAAGTTAGAAAATGAAATCAACTTGGAGTATTTTCAAGAACAAAAAAAAACTTATCAAAAGGAATTAGATTATAAGGTTGAATTGATGAAAACAAAATATCCAACACTAAATGAAAGTTTCATAAAAACATTCATGGTTAATGTATCTTTTAAATTCAACGGAAGCTATCCCTGGGACAAACCTATTTCTAATAATAATGAATTACAATACCATAATTATATTGCTGATGAGTTGAGAAATGTTGATCATATTACATTGTCATCAATCAATTATGAACGTGATATTGAAATTTCTGAAAATATAAAATATCAACAATTAGCAATTGTTGCAAAAAGGAATATTTTGAAGGGAGAAATCATTTTCCAAGAAATTGCATTTGTGAGTGTTCACGAGTCCAGCTCATTGAAATGTGATTATTGTCACGTACCTTTAAATCACAGTCCCAACATCGATTTTAAAGATATAATGGGAGTCTCTCCCATCTCTTATTTTTAATGGTAAAAGGATTAATTCTTTGAAAAGCACTAACATTCTTATAAAAGACAGTGAGATATA